ATATATATGCTTCCATAGATTTCAGTTTGTTTCCTCAGTACTAATACTCCATTGCTTCCAAAAATAAAACATTTGGCGAAAAAAATAAAAAAGGTTAAGAAGAGCTATAGATGAATTTACCAGTTCAAATAGGAAGCTGTGTTCTAATTCCTGAAAATGCAGAAGAAATTTTGTTCACTCAGTTTACTGATCCTTCCTTTGTCTAACACCCTGAGCAATCACATACCATGCAATTACATTATTCTCCAATCATGCAAGCAGACATGTGCTGTCCTTGAAAAAAGATTATAATCCCATCTCATTATGGTAGGAGTAGCCCGCAACAACTACTCAAGACAGCTGCTCTTCACATATGACCTGCATGAGACCCCAAAGGATGGAGGATCTGAGTAGGTGTAAAATCACTTCAGGAAAAAATGTGGCAAAATTACTGTTGAACAGTTGTCTTGGTTAATAAGATTAATGATTGAATTGGCCAAACCCCACTCATATCATTAAATCCGCTGTTAACTCACAGGGGGATGTTCAGGAGCCAAAAGTCCTACTCTGGTTAATAATTAACGTGCGTGGGCACAGCTGAATGGGATCCCAGCCCATTCAGAGAAAATCCCACAGCCACGCTAATCACGCTGGCACGTGCTTTAATCACGTCACTTTACTACCCAATCTGTTGAATCAAGGCCTTGGCTGACTATGTCCAACCCCAGAATGTGTCTCCTCTCAGGGACTCATCAGATGGGGACCGGCATGCAAGTGTATTTCCTCTGTTCCACGCCATCAGAAGGTCCTGGCTAGAGCTGTCAGCTGAATGAAAAACACAGTAATACCACATAGTTCTGGAAACTGTTTGGGGATTTGTTACAATTTATTTTCATTAGAGGCTCTTTGATTATGTTGAACTAAGTCTGCCTTTTATACGGCGCAATGAAATAACCCAGAGAATGGCAGAACACCGGCACCTCACACCAGCTCCTGCTGCCTATTTCTAGCGCGCACCACAGTGCGTTGGCCGTCCTTGGTGCACTGCTCGGTCCTAAGCCTGGCAGCCTGCACGCTGCACAGCCCAACAAGCAAACATGGTAAAGAAACGTTCTGTTATCCTTCATAACATTATGGCTTCTTATCTTTTGAATACCAAAGCACTGACTCACCCTGAATCTGCTTGTACTGTATCACTGTCGTCTTCCAGGCCGTCTTTGACCCAGAGGGAGACATGTAAACCGGGCATGACTTACTAAATGGCTAACTGGAGAATTTGTTCCCTCCATGCCCCCCCAGGCAGAGACGTTTATCAGCTGTGCACCAGGCACCAGAAGGGGCAGAGAAAGCCAGTCTGTGCGAGGCCAAATTCTCACTGGCTTCAGGAGAAACATAATCCGAACAAGAAATCTGGGTTAAAAACGTGTGTGTGAAAGTGCAGAATGCATTAAAATCTTGCTTGGAGCCTTAATATCCAAGGCAAAGAGTACCACCCTTCCCCACTTTCAAACAGGCAAAGTGGCAAGAGCCTGAACATCACTGAAGTCAGGAGTACCCATGGTACCCCTCAGTCGTTAAAAGTCTTTTAGAGTCTGCGTTTTCCCATGCTGGATCTCAGCATTAATATCCCCTCCACAGGAGCTCCAGGACTGTCAATCATCTTCTGCCAGAGGTGCTGCTCTTCCCCCTGAGAGTCCATCCAGTCAACCTCCTTGCCATTACTCACACCTGGTAATTGCAAAAACATGAGGCATTTTGGCATATTAGTACTTGCTCATTCGTGCCAACAGTTTAGAGAAAGATGACAAGCACTTTACACTACCGCCAGTACAGGCGGTCAGACTGAAAACAGGTAGCTCCTGGAGACCACCAGTTTGCCATTACACTCCTTTGTGGCACATGGACAGAGGTACATAAACCTCCCCAACTCTACACCACAAGTGACTTTCTCCTAATGGACAAGGAACAGAGTCATGCTTATTCCAGAAGACACCATCGCCAGCTGAAAGGCTGCTGCTGGACATAAGCAGTCTCCTCCTTCTCCTCACTGAGATGCTAAGAAACGCTTCCAAGGTATTCCTGGTTCTTCTAGACTTTGCTGAAGTATAACCGGGCACCAAATTTTTCTCTCTCACTCAATGGAAGAAAGAACTAAACCATCTACATGCTACATGTTGCCTTCTCGATTTCCCCAAGTTCCCATATGCTTTCCACATGCTCAGTAATGTTTCTGTCCCTCATAGACATGAATCACGTGGGGTGAGGAAGGAGGAGAGCAGAATAAGAAAAGCAATCACAAGTCAGGTGGGACCTTACCATTTCCAACATTCAAACGGACACCTCCCAAAAAAATATTACTGGAGAGGGACTCCTTGTCCCACACAGTCAGTTCTAGGCAGACGTTACGTATATCCCTTGAATTCAAGCCACTGAAAGCAAAGGTGTGATTCCATTGGGGGTTCACGCTCTTTTTTATTATGGGAGTTTTGTGTTTTGTAGCTTTGCTGTCATCTGGGAGAAGGTATCTGGAAGATATAAAAAAGGAAAACTGAGTATGTAGATGGGATGTCACATAATAGTCACAAAGAATTACAATCATGTAGAGGCTCAAATAGGATCAGGACCCCATTTCCCCACTGTTATTAAATTAAGTATATACCTCAAGTGCATACTTTGCATTTGTGCTCCATTTGTTCTTATAGTTACAGTGTCAGCTATCACCGTCAGAAACTGAAATTAGGTCTCCTTGCTCCATGTCTTAAGTCTTAACAACAACCTTTTTATTTTGGTGAGACTAAATATAGACAGGATCATTAAAGTGTTGGCTAGAAGCAGCCTCTCGAGTCACTAGTCCAGTCTCCCTCTCAAAGCAGGACAGGAGGTCCTCACAAAAGAAATGGAAATGACTGATAAGGAAGGAACGTCAGCAGGTTAGCATCATTCATTTGAGTTGCCTAACCCCCCCATTTGAGTGCAGAAACACTAATGTAAAGTCTGACAAGCTTTTCACATTTTACTTTAGTGGAGAATTCTCTTAGTGAAACTAAGTGAACTGAACACTCTAGTTTCAAAATCAGAGGTCTGTACAAATTTTCATAGTTTGTACCTTCAGCTCCTTCAGCAAAACCAATGGAATAACTACGTGGTTGCACATAAATACTGAAGGGTCGGACACACAAGCAAATTGTATCATTAGACCTCCATCAGGATTCCTGTGCAGGCTTTTGCTTGCCAATAAACGCGTGCCAGTTTACCGCAGTGGGCTAACCGTGAGCTAATCTGTGGCAAATTATCTCAAGCAAACCGTGCAGATGAGACCAGTGCAGCACCTCGGCTGGTTCACGGCGACTTGATTATGCATTCAGCCGTGACACGTGACAGACCAACCGTCCAAGGAAAACAGACTGTTCATACAGTTCCACTGTACTGAATCATCCCTGTCAGCAGCAGCAGACACCACGAACTAAAGACAGTCCGGAGCATTACTGGCCACGCATTGCTACTGCTAATCGTAAAAGGTTCTGACAACATCTTCTCCCCCAAAGTCTGTTGCGAGTTCCAGTGGGATCAGACAGTCTATTTTCAGTAAAAGGAAACGTCCTCAGATATACCCATCAAAGAGAGAAGGCATGGGAGAACAAACACATAGGAAGAACAGCTCAAACTCTTTCTACATTAAGTGTATAAGCTTAGTGATAATTTGAAGCACACTACAAGATCAAGATAAATTCCCAGCTCCACCAAGGAATTGAAGGCAGCATGTTTTCTATGGTCACCATTTAGTAACAACACTCAAACCATTACGAACAAACTAGAGCGTATCTAAAAACCAGCAATTCTGACAGCTAGCACTGAGAGCAAAAACTGGCAAAGAAAAACATTTTAAGCTATCCATTATTTCCTAAATTTAACATTTCAAAAGCATAACTTACATTTATGAAAAATCCAATATAATGAGGCATTGCAGGAGTATGTTCACTTTATTCAAACACAATTATAGCCTATGTGTAGCATTTTCTATGTAGTCTGGATTTTGACTGTCCAACACAAAATGCTGCTTTATCTAATAAAAAGGTGCATATGTGTCTTACTATATAGACATTTTTATGTACGCACATGCATACAAGCATATAAGTGACACAGACCTTAAATTTTTGAAAATTATGCATCTTTAAAATCAAACCTGAAAGCCATCAGAACAGAATTTTTAAACATCTTCTGTCAATATAAAATGTTAACAATATGACACAGTTAGAGTTCAGACACTACGTTTGAAGTCAGTGATAAGCTTCCTGGGAACACTCAGGGTTGAAACGTGCTCCTTTGCACTGTACTACATGCCAAAGAGCTTTCCCAGTTAAGCACTAGGAAAAAAAAAACCCAACAAAACTATTTATGGTATAAAAGAGAAAAATATTTTCTCATTTAGCATATTTACTTGAATCAAAACAGCATTTCCTCACACACATAATGGATTTTCTCTCTCTGCATTTTTCAGGTGAAATCCAGTAGAAAGAACCTCAGCGTGATGGAGCATGCCAGTTTTGTAGGTGCTACTTGCAATTTTACAAGGAATCCAAACAACATGCCTTCTCTTTGGCATACCATTTCAAGTTGCCAGTTGCTTCCCGGCACTCTATACACATATGTATGGATGTATTGGAAAAGAAATGAGTCAACCAAAACGTAATTCAATGCAGCCATTAAAAAAAACAGGGAGAAAAAAACCACAGACCCTTTCACAAAGGTGTCAGAAGTGCCTCCTGATTTCACCGCTGTTAAATTCTTCGCTTCTTTGATGAGGACTTCTAATATACCTCCATATGGCATGTGAGAGTCTCCCTTTTTTCCCTTTTTAAAGCTCTTCTTTCCTATATATAGAACAGAATTGCAACATCATCATCATCATCAACTATATATACACTGTGAGACTGATTTGGACATGGAAGTTTTCTTGGCGAGATTCTTTCACTCATTTCCTGCAATGGGATTAAAGTATTTCTTACAATGAGATTCTCATTCTCTATGGGTAGAGAAACTAATCAGGCAGGGACAGAAAATCACTCTGTATCAGATGAAGAACTTGACCGTGTAACTAGCTAGTCCTTGCTGGACACAACAGGGTGCCTTGTCTGAAGCCCTTTCTGAATACAAGTATTTGTGGATCCCTGTGCTGAACACAAAGAATTGCGTGCCCTCCAAGTCCTACCCCCTTGTCAGAATCCACTTCCACCGCTGATATTAAGGCAGTCCTACGCCACAAAAAAAAGATGCAAAACCTCTGTCCCAAAGTTTAAAATGCAGAAATATGCAGCAGGTATTCCACGTGCAGGGATGCAGTGCTCCTCGGAGACCGTGGCACAGGACAGAGGGCTCCCTGACACACTGCTGCTTTTGAACAGCGGCATGAGGATGTGTGTGCTTGCTGCTGCTGCACATTCTAAGAGGCTTATCAGCAGGGATTGTACACACTGATTCAGGCTGAAAACATCAGAAAAAAAAAAAATCAGGAATGATGTTAAAATGTGCTAATTTAAAAAAAATGCAGATACTGTATGTCGGGACTTTTCAGATAACAATTAGCTTTTAAGAGAGAAAACCTTGAAATTACTGGTAGCAGATCAAATTTTGTCTGTCAAAAAAAGAAGAAAAAAGTCCAATATGTCTACCAAATCCCAATGCTAACAAGTAATACTGTCACTAAGGCAGCGATATACCTGTGTCTGGTATATCCACGTACACTCGGGTGCTACCCGGCGACGGCTTTCACTTCAGATGATTGCTGTGCCTCATGGTACTGCAACGCACAGGCTAAGTAACTATTTTCCCCTGCTCGTTGTTCATGAAATAATGGCTTACCCTAAAGAATTCAAAAGTATTTTACAGGACTGAATTACAGCAGTAATACAGTAAAACTGAGCAGAGGTCAAGCAGTGTGGAGAAAAAAAAAAAAAAAAAAAAAAAAAGAGTGAAAATGGGGAGTCAGTCAAGCATAAAGAACTAGGTGAAGTCTATCACTTTAACCAGATATACACCATATATAACTAGATGAACAAAGAACACCCAGACTATGATGTAGACTATTTCTATGCAGCTGTCCTCAATCATGTTATCTAATGTCTGCATTTTTTTTAATTAGGTCACAGCCATGCATCAACGCTTGACTGCACACTCCTCTTCCCTTCTCTCTCCTGAAGTTCAATGGAAGAGAAGAGGACGGAGTAGGAGAAACATACTCACGGTTCAAAATTTCCACAGATGAAGACAACTAGTATATTTAAGTATGATTTTAATCTTCACTAATACTATTACTTCACCCTAGGTGAGCATTTTTAATACTCAAGAGGGATGCTATCATACGCTGCAATTAATGCTTGTTTTACCTTGAAACTGCCCCAGAGGAAGCATTAGGTTTCTGTCTGGGGGAATGTAACGTAAAACAACTGTCAGTTCTCCTTTATACTGAAGTCCAACATCTGTCACAACCTCCACCTGAAAAGAAAAAACAACAAACAAAAAGCCCAGAAATCCAGCTAAGGTTAAGCATTCACCTTCTTTTGATTTTAATTTTGTTGTACCAATATAGCATTGGAAACACTTCTTAAACATATCAAGCCATACCAGCCCACCTGCAGATAATTTAACGTTCCAGATCGAATGCAATCCCATTTGAGAAAACTTCATGATCTAGGGAATGCAAGCTCTCAGAAGAATAAAAGCCACGTGGCATTAGGCACTGTTCAGTGAACGTACAAGAGGAGAGGGATATCTGACATGAAGAAGCAAAGCCAAACAACAACACACCCCCCCCCCCACACACACACACTTATTTCTGGACATATAAACTGTAGCTAATTTAAGCTGACATTCAGCCCTTATTTTCCCCAGTCATGATTTTGAACCGTAACTGGTTTCATGTACTTTAGAGGAGTCACTCCTGAGTCACTCTTGGAATGGAGGGGTGGGGACCCAAGGTGAGCGAAGAGCAGAGTCCAGCTCTGAAATAAAGAAACTACCTGAAAACTGTTATCCCCACCATCCTGTTCCTTTTCTGCACAGCTACTATTTCTGTATCTTTTTACTTTATAAATGTTTTAATCTTGCCCAGAAAGATGCATTCGGTGCTCTTCAGAGCCTCCGTGTTAAAAGAACATTAAGCCTTCACTGACGCGTGTCGAACTTCCATTTGCATTGTAAGAAGTTGGAGACTACATGTTAAAAACAATAGATGCAACATAGAGAGAACACGTTATGCCAGTTCAAACTGACTTTTAGAAAAATAAAGCGTGGTGAAAAATGAAGTCTTGTACATTTACATTAGAGATCACGTCTATGAAAAACTCAGGCATATGCCAACCTTGCTCAGTGATGCCCACTAACAGAGGTGGGACTACTCAAATGCTCACATTTCAATACGTCCTTCAGTGCTTAGGGTTGAGTGCAAATCAACAAATCTTCCTGCTCTCTCCGCAGGGACAAAGCACATGTATAAAGAAAAAGGACCCTCGAGTGCTGAGACACACACACCAAGGTGCCACCCAAGCCTTTAAAGAACAGCTTACAGACGAAGGTCTGATCAGTGATAGTATTTCTCCGAAATGCATTCAGCTTGTTGCCTGACTCCCCAGGAAGGTCAAAATTCTATTATCAAGAGCAAACAGAACCAAAACCCCCCACCAGAAATCCATATGGTGATACGCACAGAGTTAGCACTGCCTTCGTATCACAGATGCCAGGCTGAGGCAGTAACCACATTTAGTGGGGCTAAGTCTGTACACAAGGATGGGACAGGAAACAAAGCAGTTTTAGTGATAACAACATGGCCCTTTTGAGAGTTTGAGGCACTTTTACAGCAACACAGGCGTTCCTGCACTGACTCTGAGAAATACGGTCCCGTCTCCACCACTGTCTGATGCCGGCTGCTACAACAGAGGACAAAAGAAAACCTGTAGTAAATGGCTGCGGAATGATTTGCACAACACCTAAATCTTGCCAGTCAGGCAGCTCACTTATGGTCTAAACTATGCAAGTTTAGGATCAAGTTTCCCATAAAGGCAGCAAGGATTATTTTTTCTGTTGTGGAACAGTGGACAAGTGGTGGTCTGAGTTCTTACATCAGGAACAATTTGTCAACCTACCCCCAAAACACACATTGAACATGGCTCTAGACTCTGCCCCCTCTTTAACCACAGAACTATTTTCTCTTCTTTATCTGATTTAACCACACTCCTCTTGAAAACAGACATTCAATGCTCATGAAGAAACAGGTCTTAAAGTCTCCAACCTTTCCACTAAAGCAGCTAAATGACTCATGACAGAACAAATAAAGCGCCATAATAAAACCCAGGAAATGTTTCACTGCCATTCCTGTCTCTATCAGGCAGATCATATTGAAGAACAGCATGTAATTTGCAAGTGTATTAATTAACCTGTGCTTTTTCTAAATTCAAAATGCAATAATTGATCTTTGCTGATCAAAAATGTTAGCAGCATTTTAAGTTTAGAAACATTACTTATAACAATTTAGGAGGCAGACACAACAATTCTCCGTTTGCTGTCTTTGGTAAAAAATAACTAATTTAAAAATCTTTTTAATGGGCTTGGAAATAATCAGACAACACCTTCCAGCTGGAATGGCTGAAGTGCTTAGTGCCTCATTATTTCTTTCCTGAGCAGGAGAGCTTTATGACTGTCTTTTTTTTTTCCCCTGTTAGGATTAAAAAAAACCTATGGCTTCCCCCCTCCCACAAATCCCCAAAGATTGAAATGAGATGACAAAGAGACTACTGATAGATAAGCAGCTCGATTTCAGACCAACGTTGCATACAAACTGCAAGCAAAACAAATATTAGATGTGTGTCTTTTAGTTTAGACTGGTGGGCACCAATGAAGAGCAACGCCTGAGACCAGCCAGAGCTATGACAGAGATGTAAGAGACATTTCTTCTACTGCAAGAGCAGACCCAACAAAAACAACTTAGATGAAGCAAGCTTGTAAGGAGGACGGTGCAATCCTGGCTTGGACACAGCGCTGACCGAAACATGTTTGCCCTCCTTAGCCACTTTCTCTTCCTGAACCACGAAGGAAGAGCTGGTGGTTGCCCTTATTAACGGAGCTGAACTAGGAAACTGGGAATGATCTTCCTTGCCACTTACGAAGTGCGAGGTGTGTAAGTGTTCAGAGAAGAAACCCATTTCCTTATGTATCTTCTGGCAAATTATTTACTAAAATACAAATTTGTGACGGTTTAGATGAAAGCCTCACAAAGGGCTATACCTAGAAATTAATGATACAGCAATCGGATCCATCTCCCACCTGAGAGAATGGCACAAATCAACACTCCCTCTCCTAAACCCTGAATGTAACACTATTTCCTTAAAAGTAATGAACACAGAGCAAACAAGTCATCTGAGTCTACTTCCACATCACTTGCAGTAAACCCCTGGTTTTCTCTGCAGCAAGAAAAATACACTTTCTGAAATGGCAATCGAAACCACTGGAATTTCTGGGGATTCTGGCTGCTGCGGGAGCAAGCAATGCGGAAGCTTGTAATCCTCAAGCTTACAATAGCTCTTTGAATCTCTTCCAAAAATAAACACCTTTGCCAAAGCAGGGGGTGTCCCAGAGACAGAAGTCATCCTACCCTCAGCTAAGTACAATGCAAGTCCTGTTTCACAGACCCACTGATTTACCTGCTGAGAAGCCTTATCTTGTACCTTCCTAGCTAAGGTGCATAAGAGATTAATAAGTCATTTTGTCACAACTGAAAAGTGTGAAGTGCTTTGAACTGAAACAAAAGAGATCTATTTCTTTAATAAACTGTTAAGGGTTGGGTAGCGGGGAGAAAAGTCTTTTGGTTTACATGCTATTTTTAAAAAAGAATCAATTTCTTTACTAGGTCATTTCTCCACTGCAGTTTATTACAAGATGAACTTACAGTTTATTTTAAAAGGTGGGGGTCTTTTGTTAGTTTTAAAATAGCCAATCACATGTAAGGTTTTCATGAAGTCTTTAAAACCAGTACGTTTTGATTAAGAACAAAGATACTCTTTTTCTTACCATATTAGACATTCATAAAGTCACCGCTTTATAAGCACGTTCCAAAGGAAAAATAACTAAGCCTTGCTAAATTTGCTTCGCAACACTTTCACTGGCCCCTGGAAACCTTTACCTTGGGCTGGAGCACAAACCACTCATCCCTCTGATTTTCAAAGTTCCAGGAATCAAATGGAATTTCCACCTCCCCAAGGAAGCTGTTGTGTCCAAATCTGTCGTAGTGCCAGACAGTGAGCTGCAGGGTCCTGGTTTCTAGCTGTGTGTGACTGATGACATACTACCAACAGAAAAAGAGAAAAAGAAACTCTCAGAATAAGCATAAATAATAGTTTCCACAGAGCCTTTTACAGCTCTAGCTCAATTTCACGAAGCCCACAGCAGCTAACAAATGAAGCATGAAACAGATTTGGTTTTCTTTGCAAACAAGAATGATTGAGCTAGAAAGCTCATAACATTAACGTAAAACCTAACTCTTTTCTTTGCAGTAGGCATCCGATGGTAATTAATGTTACTATCACGATTGTGGGTTTTTTTCTGTATTATTTACTGGGTATTTATGACTATAAAGTAAATTACAATGCTTAAAACTATGATCCTATTAATTCCTTCTAAGTTTACGTAAAAGCAGCAGATTAACATCAAAGTTTAGTTTGTAAGAAGAAACCTTATGGGTTCTTTCATCCCTAAAGAGAGTCTGCTGTACTCTACTTTCTAGAAACAGTGTCCTCCTCTCCTTTTCAACTGTATCTTTGTAACTTACAAAAAACTGTTCTGAAAACAAGTAAGATTGCATCTGCAAAGCATTCACCAAGCATCTCAGTCCTCGTAACCATTGTTGGTTTTGAAAGCTATTAAAAAACTCCCCTAAAGAAACTTTATATACTAGCAAATACACAGAAAATTATAAACATCTGGAATTTTAGCTCTGCACACTCTGCTTTTTAGCAAAAAGCCCGTTAATTCCCTGAAATTCACCCTTCACCCAGTGTTAGCTGAGGAGACCCAGATGTCTTCTTTTTTGCATCAAGAACAACGACTGGACACAGACATATACTCTAAAAGCCAAAGCAGGCAAGTCAGCTGGCAAGCCATGCAAGCAGGCCATTCCTGTCTACAATGCTTAATCCTAAATGCCAGCGGTTCCACTGCGAGAGATGGCATGTTTATCAACAATGGAATAAAAGTCAAAGAGGGAAGATACATATTTAATTATTTTCCTTTGCTTACCTACCTACAATTCAAGTAAGCCCTCTTCATTACAATTCGCATTTTTAGCAAGCTGCTAGGTCCTATCCTCACTGAGTTCCCTACTAGCAAACATGTTTACTGCAATATTCCTTGCTAAATAGTCTAACATCTTTTTTTTTCTTTTTTTCCCGCCAGTTCAGGCAAGTCTTAACTTCACTATAAACCATTTGAAAATGAAGCTGTACAAGAGGCTCTCCCTTGGCAAGCAGTCTGGCCAGACCAAGGGTGTGTAAGTCTGCAAAATGCTTTTGTAGCCACGTTAAGCCAAGTACACTGGCCAGGGAACATCTGTTAGCCTCTATTATAAGAAACTTATTTAAAACATCACTAAAATTACAAAAAAAACCCCAAAAACAACAAAAAAAAACCAACCACAGAAAAAAAAAAACAATCAGGAGAAACTAAAACCAGTTTCTGGCCACATGGAAGCCGGCTGGGATAACTCTCATCAATCAAGAGGGAAGGGGAATCACCAGGAGCCTTGGGGTCCAGGTGCCAGCCAGGCAGTGAACTGCGCAGAATCTCTGCAATTCCCACCTGCACCACAGAGCCAAGGAGGTGAATAAGCAGCTCATGAGGAGCTCAGAATAGTTCAGCCTCTGTAGTGGATGTGGGTATAAGGCAAAGAAGGAAAAGCCTGGGTGCTCTGCTTCAAAAATAAATTAAAGCTGCTACAGAAATTCAGATTTTACTGCAAAAGGTTATTTTTTTCTTCAGAATCACTGAAAAGTTTTAATCGAGCTCTATTTCAGCATCAATTCCTAACTCAGGGCTTACAAAATCCTTAAGGTGCTTTTAACATCTCTGAGCTCAGGTTAGACAGGAACATCGTCAGTTTTGAAAGAAATCTCTAGAAACTAATAGAAGTTTTACCTGTAAAGGGGAGAACCAAGCAAAAACACTTCCTCAATGCTGAAAGCTAGAAAATACAACTCATAGGATTACTAGACAGTTTTGCTTAAATACATTCCTTGAGGCATCTCTTCCAAATTCTAATCCCTCTACTGGAACACTTACAGAAAGCACCTGTGAGCACAAGCAAAACATTGACCACAGCCTGAGAGAGACACTGTTCTCACCTTCAGCGTTTCATTAAATTCGGGATTGGTGCTGTTACTTTTAATTTTGGTCTTGCGTTTACTTTGGCGGGATGTATCAGGCAGAAGGTACGCTTTGACGTATCTGCAGATCAAGTAGTAAATTATTATCAAGGAATAAAAATGACCAGTTTGAGCAAGGACCTGACATTGCTGCGTCAGCATCACATACGAGGAAATTATTTTTTGCAGTCTAAACAATGTACACATGCAACAGAGAATTTGTGAAACATGAAAGGTATGGTCTTTATCTGCAAACAAAGCAATGTTATCCAGATAGGATCAGAATAACAAAAGGAAGAGCTAAAATTAATTTACTCATCCTCAGAAATGCAGAAAGCTTTCCTAACACTTTCCCTTTGTAGTATACTGGTTACATATGAAAACATGTACACTGAAAATACAAGAGAATGAAAAACCTTGCATACGATAGGATTACACATGATTAGAGACACTAATTATTACTTCCTGATGAGAGAATTTACATATTATACTGAAAACTATACTGATGAGCTCAGAAAACATGCTCCTTGGATGTGTGAAACCAGTTATCCCTATCCCTCTCTCCCTCCAAAACATCACTCCTCTCATATACATTAGTTTTGATTCTAGAAGTAAGAAATCAATTCAGCCTCCCTATTCCTCCATAATTTTTGCCCTTTTACAGAAATTGCTATCAAACAGATCGATAATTTAAGTAACCTTATCGTTTCCCCAGAACAGGCACACATTGCCCTAAGAGACATATTGAAAATGCATTTCCCACAGGGAGTCCAAAGCCAATGACCATCAAAACCCTGGCTCGTAGCAACTGGTTCCTATGAATTCTCAGGCTCCTATCACAACCCCGGGCTACGTGTCTGTGTGTGATGTGGTGGAGCACACCCCTAGCCCAGCCTAAAAGGAAATTCTTGTCTGTGCTTACGGATCGGTCCTTTGCTTCTTCTCATCTGCAACGGCCAGGTTTCTGCAACTTTTTACCAGGATGTTGAGGGCACCTGTTTTGTAGCTGTAGTTGATGTTGAGAAGGATTTCGCCACTGACCTTCACGTTGCCATAGTCACCAGTTTCACTATATACACTCAGCATGCTGTTAATGCTAGTCTGGAGGGGGGGAGAAATAAGGACTTAGAGGCTTAAACAAATTACTCATTTCCAGAATCTGCTTTTTTCATACAGTCACAGCCTTGCAATATTGTCACACTTGTTAGGACTTGCTATAAAACCAGATATATCATAGAAGAGAAATACCACTTTCTTCTATTTGATGTAAAAGGGAATAAGAGGAGTAGGAATTGTAATTAATAATGGCTTAAATGTCTAGACAGTCAATGTTTTTCCATGCAGGACTCAAACCTATTTATAAACATGACTAAATCTAAATTACCACTATTTAATTCATGCATGAACTGAAAAGCAGACAGGCTACATAAATTGTAAGCTCGCGTAAGTTCCAAGCAGGGGGAAAAAAAAAAAAAAAAAAAAAAAAAAAAAAGACCTTTTTGGCTCAGCTGTCCACCTAATTTTTACTGAGTCTCATAAGACAACTGCTGACTGCACCATTAGAAAAGTTACAAGGATGCTTGCCATAATGGAGATGCTATAAAAGCATGTTTGTTTAAAGCAGCACCCACCTCTTATTAGTAATTCTAAAAGAATGAGCAAAATTCCATACCCACCATTTCAGCAATTTTCCTAAAGCCCAAAAAGTTTAGCAAAAATCCCACAAACTTTTCCACTGCAGTGTCATATATCACCCCCCAATCTCTTCTTTTTTTTTTTTTTTTCCACTCATACCATGCAGAGTATTGCTCTGAGGATTTCCTCTTCCAAATGATTACAATTGGGAAAGAACTAAACATTTTCCAAGAAAACCTGAGCAATACGCACACTGCCGGAACCAAAGGCATTTGAGAAACCTGGTGCATGTTTTCTTCTGAGTCATTGAGCAAAATGGCTCAAAAACTTACACAACCAACTAAATCCTAACAGACGGGAACCTTGCAAGACACATGGGTATAGTCTTCAACGCAAAGGGAGAAGAGAGAGAGAAACCTCAAAAGTAAGCTAAGCAGAGTATTCAGGAGAACTCACAGTATCACCGTCTGTTTCAGGCACATTTAAATACGTCCATTTTCTGTCAGAGCCTTCTGGGGAGTTCTTTAAAGAAGGCAGTGCAAAAGGTCAAGAGAAAAGAGCATTAGATAGCTGCAATAAGGAAGAATAAATGCAGTGATAGATCTTTACCTATACAGACAGGTAAAGGAAGCTTGTATTGCAAAGCCATAGCAAGCAAGAAAGAAAAAGGTATCACGAAATCAGAGAAAAGCTAAGTGTTTTCCATATACTTCAAGTATTGAAAGACATGTGGCTCCAGGTTATCAAACAGAAATGAAGCATCAAAATGAACAAATTACATTTCAGAACACCAGCTCAGTAGATTTGGATTGGATTGTACTTGGATTTGTGCTCATTTGTTTCCGCACAAAGTCAATTCTCACTTAAGCTAGTCAAAAGCATTCATGTATTTGCAGGATTGGCACCTTTGTAAGAAACCCCAGTTTCTCTGTGGAGTTTGTAACCATAGATAAAAAAGCACACAAATGTTTAAACGTGTCACTCTCTGGGAAAAACAAAATACAGTAATAGAATATTGGGGGAGACATTCCCCCCCTCTGCTTGCTAGAGCAGTATCTGGAAATCTCTCCAATGAGCTCAAGGAAAACTACTTCTTGGTCTACCTCCTTCCTCATCGGCTGCAGGGAGGAAGGAAGAACACAGTCAAGGGGAGGAACCACACAAAAAGAATTGGGCTGTGGCAAAACTCAACTCTCCGAGCACCTTGCCTAAGGGCCGTGCTGCAAAGAAAGCTGGAGGCATAAGCAGGCCTGTGGTATGGTAAACAAGAGGAGACATGAAAAAAAACAGAACAAGCAATCATTATCCATAAAGTTAATGTTATACATCATATAGGAATAATACATGACAAAAAGGGTG